CATACAAACAAACAAGAAATGTGTGAGGTGTACCCAGCATCATCAGCTTCAGAGACATGCAAATCCAAATCACAAAGAAGCATTACCTCACACCTCTTAGTGGTTATCAAAAAGAGATAAATGTTGGGGAGGAGGCAGAGAAAACAAGTTCCTATATACATTGGTTGAAATGTAAATTGGCATAGCCAGTTTGGGAAACAGTATGTCAGAAGAGAGAGAGAGAGAGAGAGAGACAGAGACAGGGAGAGAAACACAGAGAGAGACAGAGACAGAGAACAGAATTAATGTATTATCCAGAAGCCCCATTCCTGAATGCATGCTATGTCTTAGTTCACTTTCTGTCATCCTAACAGAATACCTTAGGCTGGGTAATTTCTAAAGAGGTTTGTTCTGACTCAGTGTTTAGAATCTAGTGTTTGCTTAGCTTCTTGTGAAGGAAGGTGTCATGTGAGAAAAGTGGAAGAAAAACAGGCGTATGTGGAAGAGAATGCCACATCAAGAGACCAGGGAGTTCTTTATATATACTGGATATTAGCCCTCTCTCAGATATAGGGTTGGTGAAGATCCTTTCCCAATCTGTAGGCTGTCGTTTTGTTCTGAGGACAGTGTCCTTTGCTTTACAGAAGCTTTTCAGTTTCATGAGGTCCCATTTATTGATTGTTGCTCTTAGAGCCTGTGCTGTTGGTGTTCTGTTCAGGAAGTTGTCTCTTGTGCCAATGAGTTTTAGGGTATTCCCCACTTTTTCTTCTAAGCGGTATAGTGTGTCTAGTTTTATGTGGAGGTCTTTGATCCACTTGGACTTTAGTTTTGTGCAGGGTGATAAGTATGGATTTATTTGCATTTTTCTACATGTAGACTTCAAGTTAGACCAGCACCATTTGTTGAACATGCTGTCTTGTCTCCATTGAATGGATTTGGCATCTTTATCAAAAATCAGGTGTCCATAAGTGTGTGGATTTATGTCAGGGTCTTCTATTTGATTCCATTGATCCACCAGTGTGTTTCTATGCCAGTACCATGCAGTTTTTATTATTGTTGCTCTATAGTACAGCTTGAGATCAGGGATGGAGATACCTCCAGAAGATCTTTTATTGTAGAGAACTGTTTTAGCATTTCTGGGTTTCTTGTTGTTCCATATGAAGGTGAGAATTTTTCTTTCAAGGTCTGTAAAGAATTGTGTTGGCAATTTGATGGGAATTGCATTGAATCTGTAGATTGCTTTTGGTAAGATGGCCATTTTTACTATATTAATCCTGCCAAGCCATGAGCACGGGAGATCTTTCCATCTTCTGATATCTTCTTCTAATTCTTTCTTCAGAGACTGGAAATTTTTTTCATACAAGTCTTTGACTTGCTTGGTTAGGTTCACACCACTTTATGTCCTTTGTGACTATTGTGAAGGGTGTTGTTTCCCTAATTTCTTTCTCGGCCCTTTTGTCCTTTGTATACAGGAAGGCTACTGATTTTTTTTTGACTTAATTTTGTTTCTGGCCACTTTGCTGAAGGTGTTTATCAGCTGTAGGAGTTCCCTAGTAGAGTTTTTGGGGTCACTCATGTATACTATCATATCATCTGCAAATAGTGATACTTTGACTTCATCCTTTCCAATTTGTATACCCTTGATCTCCTTCAATTGTCTTATTGCTCTAGCTAGGACTTTAAGAACTAAAGAAGTTAAACAGCAAAAAAATCAAGTAATCCAATTAAAAAATGGGGTACAGAGCTAAACAGAGAATTCTCTGTAGAGGAATATCGAATGGCAGAGAAACACTTAAAGAAATGCTCAACCTCATTAGTCATCAGGGAAATGCAAATCAAAACAACCCTAAGATTTCATCTTACACCCATCAGAATGGCTAAGATCAAAAACTCAAGAGACAACACATGCTGGAGAGGTTGTGGAGAATGGGAAACCCTCCTCCACTGCTGGTGGGAATGTAAATTTGTACAACCACTCTGGAAAGCAATCTGGCACTTTCTCAGACAACTAGGAACAGCGCTTCCTCAAGATCTAGCTATACCACTCCTAGGCATATATCCAAAAGAGGCTCAAGTACGCAATAAGGACATTTGCTCAGCCATGTTTGTAGCAGCCTTATTTGCAATAGCCAGAAGCTGGAAACAGCCCAGATGCCCCTCAGTGGAGGAATGCATGCACAAATTGTGGTATATCTACACAATGGAATATTACTCAGCAATAAAAAACAAGGAAATCATGAAATTTGCAGGTAAATGGTGGGATCTGGAAAAGATCATCCTGAGTGAGCTATCCCAGAAGCAGAAAGATATACATGGTATATACTCACTCATATAGACATAAAATATAGGATAAACCTACTAAAATCTGTACACCTAAGGAAACTAATCAAGAGGGAGGACTCTTGCTAAAATGTTCAATTCCTATCCAGAAAGGCAAAGAGGCTGGACATCAGAAGAAGGAGAAAAGAGGGAACAAGTCAGGAGCCTGACACATAGGACCTCTGAAAAGCTTTGCCCTGAAGACTATCAATGCAGATGCTGAGACTTATGGGCAACCTTTGGGCAGAGTGCAGGGAATCTTAGGAAATAAGTGGGAAACAGTAAGATCTGGAGAGTACAGGAACTCCACAAGGAGAGCAACAGAACCAAAAATAAAATAAAATAAAATCTGAGCACAGGGGTCTTTCCTGAGACTGCTATTCCAACTAAGGTCTATGCAATGGAAATAACTTAAGACCCCTGCACAGATGTAGCCTATGGCAGTTCAGTATCCAAGTGGGTTCCATTGTAATAGGAACAGGGACTGTCTCTGATATGAACTGATTGGCCTGCTCTTTAATTACCTCCTCCTGAGGGGGAAGCAGCATTACCAGGCCACGGAAGAAGATAACGCAGCCACTCCTGATGAGACCTAATTGACTAGGATCAGAAGGAAGGAAAAGAAGACCTCCCCTATCAGTGGACTTAGGGAGGGGCATGCATGCAGAAGGTGGAGAAAGGGAGGAATTGGGAGGGGAGGAGAGAGGGAACCACATGGGGGATACAAAGTGAATAAAGTGTAATTAATAAAGAAAAAAAATTATACATCTATTATTTCTTATAGCTACATGTGAACCTATGATTATATCAAAATACAGTGCTGTTTTTTTTTTTTTTTAAAGAGACCAGGGAGGCACAATTGTCATTTTATATTCTTAAGGAAATCAACCCAGTCCTACAAGAGTGAGAATGGACATGAAAAATAATTAATCTCTGTTAATGAATTTCTCATCGCTGAAAGTTCTTGACACCTTTTTAGTATAGCCACACTGGAACCAAGGCTCAGCATCAGTTTTGATGTGGACCAAGCATATTCAAACCAGAATGACAAATATCCAAAGGAAGTAAAATCATAAATCAAAAATATCTCCATTTTCATGTCAATTGCTGTGTCAGCTACAGTAGCCAAGACATGGTGACAACCTAATGAAGTACTAATAAGTAAATGGGTAAAGAGAACATGTTACATGACCATTATAGAATATTATTCAGTCTTTAAAAACAAAACACTGCTATTGGAAGCAACACACTAGAGCACTATGCTTTAGAAGACATTAAATTAAGTGAAGAACTGTAGACAGAGAAAGACAAATATTGCAGGACTTCACATGTGGGACCCAAAATAGCCAAACTCACAGAAGCTGAAAGTAAAGCGAGGTTGCCAGGAATGTAGGATAAGGGGATGAATGGAGAGACGTTGGCCTTGGGCTAAAAAATCTCAGCTATGCCAAACAAGTCAGTCCTGGAGGCTGAGCCATGTGACAGCAGCTAGTTGTACCAAAGAATACATTTACAATTTTCTGAAAGAGTAGATCTTATGTGTCTTTGTCACACATAAAAGTAATGGACAAAAGTAGGTCTCTCTGAGATGACAGACCTGTTAAAGCAGTTTTACTTTTCATTGTGGGCTAGTGGGGATCTCTTTCATGTTGGTGCTGGTAGGCAGGCACTCACCTGTGTCTTTGTGGTAGACAGATCTAAGCCGGCCTTCATGAACACCAGCCATGATTTTTGCGACTTTGTAGATCCCTCCCTTTTTCCGTTGGTAAGAGCTGTGACTTGATTCAAGTCCAAGGAGTCCAAAATGCTGTGTACCCTGTAACAGCTGTGTGTTTCTAGTCAATAATATAGGCAAAGGAGGGTAGGTTAACATTCCCAGGATTGTGTTGTTTCTGTCTTGCTCATACCACCCTCTGCTGGTCTAATCAAGTATGCAAGGCCATATTTATATATTGCCACTTGGCAAAGATTGAGGACAGCCTCTGGGACCTAAGTACTTCCCAACCAATATCCAATAGGAAAGTGATACATTCAGTCCTACAACTACAAGGAAATGTATTCTCATTGAAAAGAGAGCAGTGTTAAATGGTTACAAATTACCTATTTCATAGGAGCAATAGGGATTTAAGTAGAGATTTGGGTAGAAAATTAGACAGAGGTATTGACTTTGAAGGGGTGGTTATTCATGACTGAGGGTAGATACATGGCAGGGAAACTGAGGTAAGACAGACTTCATTAGTGTCATTAATTTTCCTAGGTATCCCTTATGCCAGATATTTATGCATCTATGTATCTGTCTATCTATCTACCTACCTACCTATCTACTTACCTATCTACATCTAATAGGAAGAAGAGTGGTCATAGAGTCTAATGATGGGATAAGAAAGACAACTGACTTAACAAGAGTGAAAATCTCTTCCTACTGATGCTATTCCAAGCATGGCAGCGCATAGGCAAAAAGAAGGCAAATCATGGGCAGGTGGTGCCCCATGGTACCCAAGCCCAGGAGATATTTGCATCATATCTGAGCCAAGAGCACAACTTTTACTACTGCCTGAGCATCCTTCCCATTGAAGTTCTGGCTCAGATGCGGCACCCAACCACTCATCTCACATCTCCAGAAGGTAGTGTGTGGGACTGCGGGTAGCAGGGGCAGGGAGGAGTCCAGGAGCCAAGGCAACCAGTGGTGCCCGGAGGCTGAAATGCTACCAACATTAACAGTTTTCTTCATGTTGCTCTTTGTCCTACTCTGTTTCCTGGGAATCCTGGCCAACGGCTTCATTGTGGTAATGCTGAGCAGGGAATGGCGACGGCGAGGTAGGCTGCTCCCCTCAGACATGATCCTCCTCAGTTTGGGCACCTCTCGATTCTGCCAGCAGTGTGTTGGGCTGGTGAGCAGTTTATACTACTTCCTCTACCTGGTGGAGTACTCCAGGGGACTTGCCCGGCAGCTCATTAGTCTCCACTGGGACTTCTTGAACTCAGCTACTTTTTGGTTTGGCACCTGGCTCAGTGTCCTGTTCTGTATCAAGATTGCTAACTTCTCGCATCCAGCCTTCTTGTGGTTGAAATGGAGGCTCCCGGCATTGGTACCCTGGCTCTTGCTGGGCTCTGTCCTGGTGTCCTTGGTCGTGACTCTGCTGTATTTCTGGGGAAACCACACTATATATCAGGCATTTTTAAGAAGAAAAATTTCTGGGAATGTAACCTTTAAGGAGTGGAACAGAAGGTTGGAAATAGACTATTTCATGCCTCTGAAACTTGTCACCTTGTCAATTCCTTGCTCTCTTTTTCTGGTCTCAATTTTGCTGTTGATCAATTCTCTCAGGAGACATACCCAGAGAATGCAGCACAATGGCCACAGCTTGCAGGACCCCAGCGCCCAAACTCACAGCAAAGCTCTGAAGTCACTCGTCTTATTCCTGGTTCTTTACGCACTGTCATTTGTGTCCATGGTCATTGATGCTACGGTCATCATCTCCTCAGATACCATGTGGTATTGGCCCTGGCAAATAATACTTTACTTGTGCATGTCTGTACACCCGTTTATCCTTATCACCAATAATCTCAGGTTTCGAGGCACCTTTAGGCAGCTAATGTTGTTGGCCAGGGGTTTCTGGGTGGCCTAGAAGGCGCAGTCTCTTCATCTAGATGCTTTGAGGAGACTCAGGTGAGGGTCAGCTCTCTTGGAAATGAGCTCACCTGCATGGGAATGTCTTTGTAAGCAGACATAGGGTTGTGCTGTGGGGTTCCTTCTTGGGAAAGAGGAGAAGAAAATACAGGGCCTTTCTCTGAGCATTCTTCCTTACCTTGGGATATTGTGAAAATGGATATTCTGAATCCTGGACCAGTATTGACCTGAAGAGCAAAGTACAATATGCTCTGTTGCTTTAGTGTCTGTTACCCTTTGCTGCTGATTCATTCATTAGAGAGTAGTCTTGACCAACTGGATCATCTCATCTTGGCTGGCGACTGGGGAGGTTAAAAAGATGCTTGTCACAGCAGCCCTGGGATGAATGTGTGCAGGGGAAGCAACAGTGTTCTTGAGACTGAGTTGCAGTCAATACCAGAACCCCAGCAACAGGTGGCTGTGGCTGCAGTGGCCGGGACAAGGACTCCTGAATACTCTTCACCCTTATGGAGATTGCTGGTGTCTTGCCAAATTTGGAAACTTTGGCCTTACTTTTATGAAGATTACTGGGAAAAGGCTTGCTACTACTCTGTTTCATTTCTCATTAATATGTTTTTCTTCCTTTAATGTCCCCCTTTCTGCAGCTTCCCTTGCTCATTAGGGAGCAGGAACTTTCTGTGGCATGAACTCAGTGGCAGGCTCTCTGATCACTGCCCCCTGGGGGGTGGTGCAGCCTTGGAGGCCACAGAGGAAGACAGTGCAGCCAGCCCTGATGAGACCTGATAGGCTAGGGTCAAAGAGAAGGGGAGTAGGTCCTCCCCTATTAGTGGACTAGTGGAGAGGTATAAGTGGAGGAGATGAGGGATGAGGAAGGGATTGGGAGGAGACAAGGGAAGGGGCCACAGCAGGCATACAAATTGAATACATTGTAATAAATGATAATAATTTAAAAATATTTATTTTATGTATGTGGGAGTACTCTATCTGCATGTACACCTGCATGCCCAGAAGAGGGGACCAGATCTCATTACAGATGGTCATGAGCCACCATGTGGTTGCTGGGAATTGAATTCAGGACCTCTAAGGAAGAGCAGACAGTACTCTTTTTTTTTTTAGACTTGCTTTTATTTTATTTAATTTAAAGAAAATTTCTGTATTATTTCACATTTCTATATGTCACAGAATACCTACCTTCAATATATTTACCCTTGGGGTCCCATTACAAAACACAATGAAGAAAAACACACTAGGAAATATAAGAAAGATTATGGAAAATATTGTGCAATAGATGCCAACTGTAATGGGATTACTACTGAAAGAGTGAATGACTATTGAGTCTTTATGAGTTGTGTCCAGACAGTACTCTTAAACACCAAACCATCTCTCTCCAGCAGTCCTGATGAGACTTAATAAGCTATAGGCAGATGGCAATAGTGGAGAACTCCCCCTTTCAGTGAACTAGGGGAAGGGGTAGGGAGAAGAGGTAGAGAGGGTGGGACCGGGGGGGGGGAGTTGAGGGAGGGGCTTCAATCGGGATATATAATGAATAAAACGTGAAGAAAATAATAAAAATTAAAAATTAAAAAAAGATTGTGATTTCCTCATTTTTTTGTCTTTGGGAATCTTTTTACCTCCCTCAAGCAAATGCTGCAAAGACATCTACATTGAATAAACATGATATTTCATTCAGAAAAACAGACTCAGGAAACTCACTTATTTTATATCCAAATGTCACTTTAAAAAAAAATCACTGTATTAAATGTCCCAAATATTGTTCTTATTGATTTATTATTTATTACAATTTATTTACTTTGTATGTCAGCTGTAGCCCCCTCCCTCATCTCCTTCCAGTCCCACCAAAATATTGTTTTAAAAATAACTTGCTCTAAATGTTATACAAATGTCTTGAAGGGTAATTTTGGAAAAAATGTGATTGGCTATGTAAGACAAAACAAAAAGCTCTTGGTACTCAATCCTTTTTACCCTTTTGCGTCATTTGTTAATTCACTATCTTTCTCTCTCTGGCATTATAGGGAAGAAGAACTTTTGATAAGAGGCATCAACTTGTAGATTTCAGAGACCAGTTTATAACTGGATTTCTGATAGAGAGAGACTGCACTCTTCCCTGAGAATAAAAACGGTTGCCCTGTCGGCTAGCATATATGTGACTAAGTGAACATGGGCTTGTGGACTACAGTGTTGGAGAAAGTGGTTCTACATATTAAATTTAAACATTTTCCTTATGCAGTACACTGAAATGTTAAGAACTCAAACTGTATTTGATGAGTATATGTGGGAAGTCTCCGTTCGACCTATCCTGTTTGGGGGCACTTTTATCAGTTTTATGTTTGTGTTTCTAGAAATATTTTATTCTTTATTAACAGCTACCTAAAGAACCAGTCCATTGACTTACAAACTGGTAACTCTACACTCCTAACCAAATGCCTTATTAGCCATGCTGCATCTGTGTCTTTTTATGCAAATGGTTGAGTAATATGTGTGTTGCTCAGCTTTGCTCTCCCCACCTCACAGTATATCTCAGAGGTCTGCTTGTGTATGCACACAATGAGTTTCTTCTTCCTCCTCATCTTCCTCTTCCTCCTCCTCCTTCTTGTCCTCCTCCTCTGCTTCCTCCTTCTCCTTGTCCTCCTCTTCCTCCTTCTCATCCTCCTTCTCTTCTTCTTCTCCTTTGGTATAATGGAACATGACTTAGTGACCTGACTGTGGTCATCAATGATATTTCTTATCTTTTGGTATTATGACAATATAGGGACTAAGGATCTGGGCCATCAGGTAAGAAGGCTTGTTCAGCAAGCATAAGGACCTGAATTTGAATCCTCAGCAACACCATAAAAAGCCTGTATGGCTGTGAATGCTTGTAACCATGGCACTAGGGCAATGAAGATCAATAGATCCTAAAAGGCTACTGGTAAGCCAGCCTGGGCAAAACAGAGAGCTTCTGGTTTAGAGAGAAACCCTATCTCAAGGCTGAGGCAGTGAAAGAAGACATACAATGTCTTGCTCTGGTTTTTGTATGTGAACACATGAGTGTATACACTTGCACACTCTTGTGCATGCATCATATAGATACCCCACAAGACCCCCACACACATTATAATCCTGCATGTGTGCACTTTTATGAAATGGGCTTAGTCAAATGGCATGCACCTATCTACATTTGATAAAATTGCCATCCCTGGGTTTACAATAATTTATTTTCTCACAGCAAGCAGCTTATTTTTACCCTTTTTATTTTTGACCAACCTGTTAGGTTAAAAAAAAAACCACAAGAAGTTTTATATGTTTATACTTTATATGACTCACTATGATAGGATTGTCATTATCTTACATGTTTTAAAATATGTTTGTCTTAGGCCTTATTATTATTATTATTATTATTACTTGGCCTTTGACCTTTTCTTTTGGTTGCTGGAGCTCTTGTTGTGGAGAAATCAAATCTTCCTTTGTCTCATGAGCAGTAAATTAATCCCCAAATCTTGGAGTTTAATTTTCTTCTTGACTTTAGTAATAACTTAAAAACTCACTTGGAGGAATGATGGGTCATAGGAAATGATAATCGTACTTGTGAGTGTTTTAACTTTTAAAAGTGGAGATCTTAGAGCTTGGTGGTGGTACATGCCTTTAATCGCAGCATTCAGGAAGCAGAGGAAGGTGGATCTGGATTCAAAGCCACCCTGGTCTACAGAGTGAGTTTCAGGACAGCCAGGGCTATGTAGAGAAACCCTGTTAAAAAAAAAAGCAAACATCAACCCTCCCCAAACAAACAAACAAACAAACAACAACAAAAATGCAGAGCTGACCCCTGTCACTATTAATGATATTCTGCTATACTTGCAGACAGAAGCCTAGCACAACTGTCTTCTCAGGGGCTTCATCCAGCAGCTGATGGAAACAGATCTGGAGACCCATAGCCAAATGATTGGTTGAACTAGGGGAGTTGTGAGGAAGAATGGGAGAAAGGATTGAGGAAGCCAGAGGGGACAAGGACACCACAAGAAGACCTATATAGTAAACTAACCTGGTCCCACTTGGCTTCACAGAGACTGAAACACCAACCAGAGAACATTGATGGGCTGGAGCTAGGCCCCCTATACATATGTAGCAGATGTGCAGCTTGGTCATCATGTGGGTCCCCTACCAATGTGAGTGAGGGCTGCCTCTGACTGTATTGCATGCCTTTGGATCTCTTACCCCTAGCTGAACCGCCTTGTCTGGTCTCAATGGGAGAGGATGCACTTAGTCTTGCTGTGACTTGAATGCCAGGATACCCATGGAGGGCCTTTCCTTCTCTGAGAAGAAGGAGAAGGGGGAATGAGGAGGAGGGCATAAGTGTGGGATTGGGAGGAGAGAAGGGAGGAGGCTGCTATCAGGTTGTAAAGTGATTAATTAATTAAGTAAATAAATTAAAAAAATTGAAGTCTGATTTAAAAATAGCCAAAATGCAGATCTTCAATATTACTGGAAATGTATAAATGCATAATCCTAAGTATAATTAATCCTTTGTGTCTCAGTTTCTTGGTATGTTAAATGAGGTGGATACTTTCTAATAGTCTAAGAGTTGAAACATGACACATAAGTAATACTCATCATAGTTTAAGAATAATTATAATAACTCATAATTATTGCTGTTATTTTCATTATTTTCAGTATCTGCATTGGTATGAAGAAAGCAAAGTATGGTGAGGATGTTTTCCAGCCACAGTCTAACACTTTCCCTGACTCTGATCTTTTGTCTCTGGTTTTTCCATTTGTCTTCTTGCAAAGAGGAAAAAAAACAAGCGTTTGAGGTGACAAAAACTATTATGGCAGGTAGAAAACGACTGGAGAGGGATTCTTATACTGAAGCATGCTTGGAATTGGGTATAGTTCTAATAGAAAACTTTACCCAAGGAGTATTTTAATGTCAGCTAATGAAGATGAAATGAAAGATCTAAGAGATTTTTATTCCTTTGAAGAGAAAAAGAGAAAATTTTAAGA